CTTACTGTAGTTTGTATTATAGAAAGGTCCATCGTACTACAGTCCAAGACAAAAATAGTTGGGACACTTGTTGCAAACCCCGTTTTTTCCCTTCTGTGTCCAAATCGTTTACATTAACATTGATTGGACGAGAAGACGCAAAAGTGTCCCAACAGTTTTGACTGAGACTGTAGTTTGTCTCCCTCGTCACGCAACGCTTTTCCCAAAGAACCGGGCTGCTCACATTCGAACCGCGTTCCTCTTTCCAGTTGTTTTATAAACCCATTGAAATGAACAATCATTTATCAGCAAATTAGAATAACGTCACTCTTCGCCGAAAGTTTCTCGGAGAGGAGCGTTGCTTGACGAAACAAAAACGGCTGCGTGGGAGTCTGTCATCGCTGCAGATCGGTATAATTTTCTTGGAAACTACTCACGTACCCCTCCCCTAAGTTAACGTTATGACTTACTCTAGTCTTACTTAAGGTAAAATATTAGGTTAGGGAGGGGAAGGTGCACAGTTTCAGAATCTTATACTATGACTGTTATAGCCGTGGGTGATTATAGTATTTAAGCTCGAAATCCTGGTTCCATAAATCCGCGAGTCGTTTTAAAATGTGTTCAAGAGTTCGATTTGATAATAGTCGAAACACCTGATTCGATGACAGACGATTGAGGCGATGGCAATTGCCTAGATAGAACTGAAGCTGACGTCCTTATAATTGTCTCAGATTGTTCAATATTGCCAGAATAATATGATTTGGAAACCGGGCTAAATAATATTAACACGCGTTTTCTCCACAGTGTTGTCGTTACCTGATGAGGCGACCTCATCAGCTGGTATTTGATTAGCGGTGCGGTAACAATATAGGATAGATTCTACACTGGTTACCGGTGATGTATTTGGTAGTTTCATATTTATAAACTTAGCTGATAATTATCGCGGGGAATGACTTACTTATGAGAGTTGTGGAAGATTTTTCCGAATTCATAAATTTTTGTATTTGTTACATTTAGCGTATTCGTTTTGGCAGGCGTTTACACACGTCAGTTAATCGGAGCGGAGCACTCGCTCGGATACAAAGTGTTTACTTTGGATTTCGGATTCAAAATCTCCGGACACCCGTTGTTTCACCTGCGACGTTTTCATTTCGGACTTACTCAACTGCGTGTGGACGTAATCACAGTTCCGGTACTAAAATGAAATCTCTCCTAGTGTAAACCTGCCCTTAGAATCGCGTTTACGGCAAACGCCTGTTTTTACCACGTCACTAAGTTTCCTTTTTTCTTGTCCTTCACTTTATTACATCCACACAAAATAATTAGCTCCGTGCTATTTTCATCCATAAGAATTATTTTGCACAGTTATTGCTTGCTCATTTCCTAGTTTGAGAAATTCTAAACTTGAAATTTACGTTTTCCATAAACGTGATTCTAAATCTGTTTTGCCGCAGTGTCGGAGAAACTGTCCCCAAATTGTGGCGTAAACAACTTTTCTCCACGATAATTGGAATTGCTTTGCATTGTTTTCAACACGTTTTCTTGCCAGAGCAAGCTTAAGGTAGATGAAATAATCTCGATTACTAAATATTTTATTACGTCCAGTGTTTGTTTATTCGGAGAAGAAAGAAAGAAAACTGTATGTATAGGTAATTTGTCCTTTTTGTACATACAATCATACGAATTTAGAAAGTAGTTGAATTGATGGAAAATCACTGCTAACATAAGCCATCTATAATTGTAGCTGGTTTAATTTTAGAAATATATAAATTTAAATTTATGGTCTTAAATTCAGATTTTACCTTCATATTTGCCAGTTGCAGATTTTGATTTTAAATTAGAATTCGATTGTAGGAATACCATTGAAAAAAAACAATGATGTTTTATTCTCAGTAAAACGTAAGGGTTAGAAGATACGATTAGGTGGGAAGTGCGGGAGAGAAAATTAATTTAATAGATTATTGTCGACTTAGAATGTGGCCCTGAAACTGCTAGAAGACAGAGCGCTGTTTCGGCAGCTGTATCCCAGGTTGCAAGCTACGTATTGCATGGCCATAAGTTCCGTTGTTTTATCTGAGAGTTCTCTGGACTGATGACGTTGACCTGTCGATCTGTCAAGTACATCTATTTCTTTTTTTGTTTCCGCATCTTGAAATTGGCGAAAATGTTGGCTCATCTTCGGTGCAAGAAACTGTATCAAGAGTCAAGAGTAACATAAAACTAGCAAGTCAACGTAATAGAGCATACGAAATTTATGGTTATAGAAAAAAAAAACCGTTTCAGGATCTTGCACCAAAGTTAAACCCTGATTTGTGGTGTGGTGTTAGTCTGTCTCACTCGACTTTATCTCGGGTGGTTCAAGTACTGCTATAAAATGCAAACACTTGTCCTAAGTTTTCATATTATCAAAATGAACAGTTTTTCTCACCTTTAACAGAGTTGTAGTCAAAGTTTAAAAAGTGAGACTTCAACGCCATCAGTTCAGACTGTTTCAAGTAATCGTGGTAACTTCATTATCACCATGGTGATATAAGGGTTTTGTGACACGTTGTCTGTTGCCTTGGTTTATCTTTATTTCGATTGTAAATATGTTCAAAAAAGTGTTTAAAATTCAGTGAGTAAAAACAAAATTTAATTGATTCAAGATTCATATCAGTTCATATAAGATTCATATAAGTTATTATTTATTGGTGACTATTTGACTAATGTCAGGCGTGACTGGCGTGTCAGAAAATCAGTTACAAAACAGACACAGTTTGGGGGACACATTTACCCCTTGTTTAAACGTAAGTTATCCTAGGAATAACAGTAATTAAAGAATCAAACTAATTCTTAGTAAGACTGGTGTAGTCTAGAGTTATTTTTCCAAGTCGGTTGTTTTATGTTGTAACGGCTGACCACTGGTCACAGAATCTGTCGTGGCGGTAGGCTACAGTTGGCTAACGCAGTAGGAGAGAAAGTCCTTGGACTCCAAACTCCACCTTACCAAGTGATAAATTTTTAATATATTAAATATAATATAATACAATAGATAATGTGAAACACTTGTGAAAAAAAAATAGTAAAAGTACTCAGCTTGGACTAGAATGCATGTAGAGTTGTTTCAATTTGATTAGTATTCTTTTTGATTAAATTTTGGCGTGCAGGGTACCAAAAATTAAAAGTCCATCAAAACTTTTTTGTTTTGCTTTCCCCGGTTTTTTGGGCCTTCTTCCTGTTGGTGAAAGTTCTCCAATGAGCTGGGACGTTCCGCGGCGCTGGACGACGATATGAAACTGCTGTACTCATAGGTTAATAACCTGCGAGCAAGCTCTCCAATTCGGGCGAGGCAAGAGAGCCGCGCGAGAACGCGCAATCGAGCGGCGAAGCCGCGAGGAGCCGCGTCTCTTCTCGCGTGCCTCTTGCGCGTCTACTTTTCTCGATTTCCCCCAAATGGAGAGCTTACTCGCAGGCTGTTGGTTAAAGGAGGGCTTGACTGTCCGAAACACTGGAAAAGCTAACGTGCGTTCTCCATTATCCAACAAATTCACCTTTCCAGCAAGTTTGCGAGGAAAACGCGCATTTTCATTTACCTGTCCTGGGTAAAAAGANTTTTCTGTTGTAACGGCTGACCACTGGTCACAGAATCTGTCGTGGCGGTGGACCACAGTTGGCTAACGCAGTAGGAGAGAAAGTCCTTGGACTCCAAACTCCACCTTACCAAGTGATAAATTTTTAATATATTAAATATAATATAATACAATAGATAATGTGAAACACTTGTGAAAAAAAAATAGTAAAAGTACTCAGCTTGGACTAGAATGCATGTAGAGTTGTTTCAATTTGATTAGTATTCTTTTTGATTAAATTTTGGCGTGCAGGGTACCAAAAATTAAAAGTCCATCAAAACTTTTTTGTTTTGCTTTCCCCGGTTTTTTGGGCCTTCTTCCTGTTGGTGAAAGTTCTCCAATGAGCTGGGACGTTCCGCGGCGCTGGACGACGATATGAAACTGCTGTACTCATAGGTTAATAACCTGCGAGCAAGCTCTCCAATTCGGGCGAGGCAAGAGAGCCGCGCGAGAACGCGCAATCGAGCGGCGAAGCCGCGAGGAGCCGCGTCTCTTCTCGCGTGCCTCTTGCGCGTCTACTTTTCTCGATTTCCCCCAAATGGAGAGCTTACTCGCAGGCTGTTGGTTAAAGGAGGGCTTGACTGTCCGAAACACTGGAAAAGCTAACGTGCGTTCTCCATTATCCAACAAATTCACCTTTCCAGCAAGTTTGCGAGGAAAACGCGCATTTTCATTTACCTGTCCTGGGTAAAAAGAAAATATCCCTACAAATAGACACACTTTCTCTTTAGACAGCTTAAAGCACTCAGCTACTCAGTGCTGTTATTACTGTCTCTGCTAGTTTTAAATAGGCCATTTGCAAGATGCCGTCACTTTACTACTTTACCAGAATCAAAAAAATGAATTCTGGTCGTAGAAGTAAAGTGACGTCATCATGCAAATGGCCTATTGAGGGGGTGGATACTTATTCAATTTATGGCGGAAGCCAATTCATTTTGGACAGCTTTAAAAACGGACTCAGTTCAGGAATTGCCTCGTACTCAGACGTCTCTCTCTCGAAGTAAATTTGCGTGCAAAGAAAGGCGGGAGGGAGAGAACAGGCGAAAACTGTCTTCCCATGGTCTCTTGCGCTTCGACAACAGTGACGCACATTTCGAGCTTGCCTTTGTCCGCGACTCGAAAAACGATGCGCCTGGGGAAGAGGACGGATCAGGAAGTATCCGTAGTTGCAAGACGACATGAACACCTGCCGGAAACAAAAAAGTGTTGAAAATAATAAAAACGCTTCTTTAAAATTACTAGTGACTAAAAGAAAAAAGCATCTCGTGAAAAAACAACCGCAGTTTGAGGATACTTCATCATCTTATGAAAATTCGTGCTAGTCCGCAGAGTTTTACAGTCCGATAATCTGCCTTGATCAATTTGCGTCGATTTCCGTAGCTTTTAGCAGGTGCACCGGTTACTTTTAAAAGTGCAGTTCTTGTATTTGTTGTGTCAATTAGAAGATTTTCGTCAAATCAGTTTCCGCAAGTGAAAACTTATTAATCTCAGATTGTTCTTACACCTCCACACTCGTTGGAAAATGCAAATTTGAAGCCGCTGCGTTGCTTTCTTTCTCTCGGCCTCACATTGTTTTTGTAACTGCCCTTTCGTTTGCGTGTTTGAGTCGATTTTCAGCAAGCGAGAGGCGATCACTAACAGTCAGCGCCTCCATGCCTCTGGATTTTCCTCCGTATTACGGTAAGTCGCGCTAGTTTTAGCAAGATTAAATAACAAAAATTCAGAAACAACAAGCAGCTTGTGGCAAAATCAAATCTGATTTACCACAACATTCAACGACCAAACAGATTGAGCTTTTTAAGCGACTGATCGTCAATTTTGCAGTTTTTAAACCATCGGGGTACGTCTAGTTTCAAAAAATTTTAAATTCTAGGCCAAAAACACCTTTATACTTGAACTGCAGTCCAGCTTTCGGGTAATTTTGGGCAACTGATCGTAACGTTCTATCAAACCTATTTTTCTAAATCCGGTCATTCCTTTGCGATCGTCGAACTTGTCATAGCTGTCAAAGGTATTGGAAATCTAAAACTTCGCTCAGTACTCAGAGATCTCTAAAACATGTTATTTTTTTATCTATTTAAATTTTGATTTTTTCATTTAGTCGATGTGATTTCTAGGCTTTAGCAAGGAGTCAACTTGGCTTTTTTTTGCCAAAAATTGTTTATTTTCCCTTAATGAATGATTGTTTTATTTTCGCCCTGTTTATGTATTTTTAGTTTCTCAGGCGGTTTTATGTTCCGTCATATATCTCTGTTCCTATCAGTGTTTCTAGCTGATATCTAACAATTATCGCTAATACAGTATATTTTTCTGCATCAAGTACGATAAGTTTCTAAGAACGTCATACCGAGATAAGGCAAATGCTCAGAAATGTCCTAATTCATAAGTTGATATGAATGTTTTATTCTTCTTCATAGAAAATGAAATAATATTTTGATTAAAATCAAATGATATACTTTATTTTGCTGCCTTAAGGCAAAGCAGTATGTCTGCCACAATTTTCTTTTTTTATTATTTCGCTTCATAGCCGACGGGATTATGTGGGTGCCAGAAATCGTAATGACGTTGATAATGGTGTATTTTCCAATTCCTCCTATTGGCGAAGGCATCTACTTGCGTCACAATACACCAAGTCAATGAAATCGGGGCAGATTTAAGGGAACAAAAAGATATATTCGACAATTTTACTATCGATGACCAGTTGATTTTTTTGCTGATGACTTACTGTGGTAAACTACACGATGTAATAGTCCAGAAAAGATTATTTTTTTATTTCATGTCAGTTTGTTGACATTGTTTGACACGTAAGAGGTTTCTTTTGAGTCAACATGAGGGAAAATGAATTTAAGTGAAACAAAACCCGTCTATAACTGCCCAATGAGTGTCGCCTAATGTTTGTTATGGTAGTGTATGTTGTAATAGTTACTGTAAATTACATAGTTACCGAGTTACCATTTGGAACAATCAATTTCACTCTGTCGAGTCGCAGATTCAATCGTGGTGACAGCGGGAGTCTGTCAAGACGAAAACACATGTAATTATTTCATTTTTAAAAATGAAACCCCTCCGACTCGTATCCTTGGATGCTTTTGCTTTTGTTTATTTTATTTATTTTACAAAGCAAATTTCACAATGATTTTTTTTAAACTTTCTTTTTCCTGGTGTTAGCAATTTTACTTTAAGGGTTCAACTGGATTTGAAAGTTGCACTCAGTAAAGCCTAAAAAAATATTCTTGTAGGAAAATGTTAAAATACGTCGAAAGGCCAAACTCGCAAAATTGACTTAGGATTTTATCAACGAAAAGCCTTCAAAAAGCAGTTTGTAGATAAATGTCAGAAAGCAAAAACATCGTTTTCAGCCTTTTTGATCAACAACTGAATTTTATGGACTTTTATTTTTGTTGATATTTTCAGCCTCGACATGCTTATAAAAAATGACTCTTATATATATTTAAAAAACTTCACATTTTCTGTATGTGACGTTAGGTTATTTCAAAGTGTTTTTCTCAATTTATTGTTGACCAGATTGGCGTCACTTATAATATCTGAGTTTAATTCATAATACCTTTTCCATCCCTGCTGAGCGCACAAATACAGCACAGCTTTGAAGAGACATGTCGCAATAACATGATTAAAAGCAGACTGTTCTTTACTTTGGTAGCTGGAGTGGCGGGAGAAGACATGTTGGACGAATTTCTGGTCGGTAAACGAGAGCTAGATCACGGTCAAAGTGCAACTATGGATGTGCGAAGGTTTGTTAAGACAAAAGAGGAATTGGAATTAAGTTTAGAAAGAATGTGTTATCTGATTCTAATTCGGATTGATGGTATTGGGACTGAAAAATGACCGATTAATTGCTCCAGGATCAAAAGATTTATTTGAATATCTTACCATTTGACTAATTGACTTATACATCTGGGAATATCTTTATTAATTGGTCATTTGCTGAGTAAGCTGAAGCTTTTATGGTTTTTATGGTTTATTTATTGCTCACTGAACGTGAATATAGTTTTATATTGGTATAAATTTGTGACTTTGCCAAAGTAATGTGTATTATGACTGTTACTCAAAGAAGATAATCAACTTTGCATTAACGATTATCTGAAGTCGGATTGAATCAGTTTTACTTCGTCAATCTTATGCTATTTATGCGAATGTGCATCAAATGTAGAATATTGCAACTTTCGTTGTGGTTAACGTTTCTCCCTTAAATTATTTCAGATTTCTCAACGTAAAATATCACCAAGCCTCGATTGGAAAACTTAAAAAAGCCGCCTTAGCTTGCACGATAGCTATCTTGCTCATTATTGTTGTAATGTTCACTGTCGGCTCCCCGTCAACCCGTCACCTTCCGGTGAAAACGCTTCCAGAGCCAACAGCCGCTGGGAAGACTGGTACCGAGATAAAGCAAAGACCCTCTTTCGTGCGGGCCACAAATCCCGACATACCGTTCGAGCTAACTCTCAACTGCAATTCATGCGCATTGGTGAGCTCTTCTGGAATGCTGCTGGGAAACAACGCGGGCTCGCAGATTGATTCTGCAGATTGTGTCTTCCGATTAAACTCGGCACCGACGATTGGTTTTGAAGAAGATGTCGGAAGTAAAACAACGGTTCGGGTGTTTTCAGTATCTGGGTTAAAGTCTTTGATCAGAGATACCTGGCAGAAAAGTGTGGATACTTTTCAAGGCTTGGATTATATGATTTTGCTGGGACCGGATGAACTTCTGTGTAGAAACTGTACACTTTCTAAATTGTACCAGAAATTAGCGCATTATCTTGAAAACACTGAGTTGCTACAGGTCACGAAGGAAGCCTATCAAAAGGCCAAACAAGAAACCAAGAATCTTGGCCTAAAGTATGCAAGGTAACATTTTTTTTGTGAACTGTTGAAGCAAGTTGTTATGATCCAACATGTTTGGCAAAAAAATCATACACATTTATTATAAAGTCGAACCTCTTCACAAAGGCCACCTTGGGGTCAGAAGAAAGAAGCCGTTGTAGAGAGGTTGCCATAAGTGGCGGTTCGACTGTATTTTGCTATGCCTTTCTTTTCCTCGCCGAAAGAACAGTTTGCTGCTCTTTCGTCAGTTTTGTCATCGATCTTTTTCAGTGATCCAGATCTTTTTTAACAATCCGAATACTGAACTTACCGGGTTTATAGCAGTAGTTTTGGCTTTCAAATTTTATTCTTTCTTTTTTTCTTTGTAAGCCAATAACCAAGCACATCGCCGACGCACTCATCGGGTATTTTCCATAATGCCAGACCATCTAGTCAGTGACTAGGATTGGCCAAGGTAAAATGGACGACGTTTTTTAACTCAAACAAAATTTTCAGAACTGAAGCGTTCATTTACGTTGTAACCTCAATTTTGAGTACTTCTCCGCAGTGAAGTGGCACTGGAAACGAGAATTTTGAAAATTGAACTGCAAGTTTCGGTCGGAATATTCCCGCAAACACCAAAGCATGTCCCAGAGAATACGACGAAAATTTCGCGGGATAATGGAAGCCACTATACCTGCGATACTTAAATGAAAGCCACTCTTAAATAAAAACCAACTAAAACTTATTACTTAACCTTTTATCTCAGGTCTTTTTCCTTAATTTTTATGGGAAAAGCTCTGGGAGTGAGTTTGGTAAGAACTTTGACTGCACGCAAAAACTTCCAAAAACGCACGCGGGAGAGCCCCAACCTGGTTTCAATTTTATTTCCAGCTGTTTTAAAAGCAGCCAGTAGATAGGTGTCGACAGAAGGTGAACATGAGGTGTTTAATTACATTAACACAATTGTCCAACAACCAGCCTCCTCCTCACGCGCTTTGTCTTTCGAATGGTTTCGCATAGAGGCGACCGCGAAACGCGAGTAACTGGTGACTAAACGCAAGGGACCATGGGAAGGGTGCGAAAATTTTCATCGAGAGAGAGACGTCTGGGTACGAGGCAGGTCCAACAATGAAAGCTCTTCATCTGTTCATTGATATGGTATAGTAGTTTTAGCAATATTTTACCCGTCAAAAGAAGTTAAATTTTTCTTTCTGAAAACATTTTCCCTTTTATTTCTTCCTCAGCCTAGACCTACCTATCTCCACAAGATTTTACGCGTTGAGTTTGGCTCGACATGTTTGTCCTCAAATCAGGGTGTTCGGAATGGAGCTCGGGAATCCTTGTGAACGGTTTGTAAAATATCTTATCATATGCAAAAACATACTCACTAAAGAACCATGTCAAAAATTTTCTTGCGCAAATGGGTTTTACTTAATCAGAGGCGCGAACGAGGTTTTTAAAGTGTGAGAAAAATTGTTCATCCATAAAACGCTTCTGTCAAAAACATAATTTAAAAGCCTGGCCCCAGTTGTTCAAACTTTGAATAGAGCTATCCACCAGATAAATCAGATATCGTTATCGTAGATAGCGTTATCCACGTTTTGAACAACTGGTAGCAGCTTTCTTTTACGACTTTGCTCCTTTAACACTGCCGTCATATATATTGCTTTTAGATTGCGATCCGTGCCCATGTTCTACTGGGATCAAGAATCCTGGCAGACTAAATGCCTGACACAGGAGAAACGAATAAAGCAGCGGATGTTTCAAGGAGAACAGAGACTTTTAATGGAGAGAGAAATTTTCCATTCGTGGGGTGATAAGTATCACATCGAGTTCTTTTACCCTTCTCAGAGGAAAGTAACATGAATATTATCTACTTGGACAAGTTTCAGTGTTTTAGATATTATTTTTGGGAAAATGGGAAAGAAGATGAAAAAGGCTGTGCCTCTAACACTATGGTAATCTTCGCAGCCACTGTTTCCGTTGTCACGCAAGCTTTGTCCATTACAGAAATGTAACACAAGACGTCACACAATGCGTCACACAACACGTGACACGATGTTTGTTCCGTTACGATGATAAAGAATTTTATGCCCAGCGCCGGACGCGAAAGTATACATTCCTAGCTACTGTGCTGAGTGTTAAGTTGGCCATCCAAAGTTTTTTTTTAAAGAAGTTTAAAAACTTCTTTAACAGAATGCTTGAGTAAAATCACGTGGGATCGATTTTGCCGTACTAACAAGTACTTGCTATACTTATTCAGTACGCGTATGATAAATTATGTATTTTATTTATCAAATTACGTTTTGTTTAAAAATTATAATTTAACTTGAGAAAAAAATGAAAATGTAAACTGAATCCATAAATAAAAATCCTTTTTTTAAAATAATATCTCGTTTATTACGACTGCCAGCTCCCAGAAACTGTTTTAAAGATCACTAGGAACACACGGAGGACACGGTGAAGTAATCAGAGGAGGGTGTTTTCGGCCGACTCTGAGTTCCCCTCGGCAAATTTAGATATAAAGGGATGCAGTTGTCATCCGCTTAGCTTTATATTTGGGCTGTGTATGTAAATGGCACTGGGAGATGTGGAAGGGGACATTTGGACGCAAGGCGAGGGACTTGAGGTCGTGAAGTATAGGACACGGAGACGTAAAGTATGTGACACGGGGACCTTAAGTATGGGACTTGGGGGTGTGAAGTATTGGACTAGTGGACGTTACGTATGGGACACGGGGACGTGAAGTATGGGACATGAAATATGAGACACGGGGACACGCCTTGATTTTGCTGTTCTTTCTATGCTGTGGGCGAGGATTCGTGGCTTTTTTAATTCTCAAAACGTGTGAATTTTCCTGCCTTTTCTCCAAGTCTACCAAACAGCTGACCTAACGTAACCGCGTTCCCAGGGCTTCTCAGTTACCACGGTACCTTTTCCTGGCGATTTCCTGTATATTGACGCTAATTTGTAGGATATTTCGCAAACATATTCCAAATTTGGTCAACGTTAGGTGTTATGAAAAACTATCCGGAGGATCTGAGGCAATAAAAAACGAAGAAATATTTTGAATGAATAACAATCTAAGTTATTGAGAGAAGTGGTAGTAACTGCTGTAGTAATTTAAGCAAAGAAACCGCCTGAAATTACTTCAAGGTAATTGTATACTGAATAACGACTGGTCTCTTACAACAAATGATTCATAAGGCGTGAGATAACATCATGTTACAATGATGATTGTCATAATAATAATGGTAATAATAAAAATGTTGGTGGTGGCAGTAAAAATGATAATGATAGTGATGACGGTGATAGCAAAGATAAAGTGATTACGGTTTGTGAGAATAATGATCTTAATGATTATGATGAGACGATGGTTGTGACAATAGTGATGGCCACAGGTAATTTATCCACACTTTTTTTACAAGATTTTATTTTGTAAATAAGGGATTGTTATAACCTTTTAAGTCATCATTCTCTTTGCACTAACCTCTTTGAAAAGTAAAAGTTTTCAACTTAAGAAATTTTCCAAAAATAACGAAATCGGTAAGTCGTAACGTTACCATGGTTACTTCTTGAAGAGAATTTATCAGGACCTTTTTAGAATGACATCATTTGACTACTACTTCTACCAGAATTCTTTACTTTGCTGTTTTTATGTGCAACTTAGTGCTATTATTTTATAAATCTCGGTGAGACTGACTAATTCTGATAAGAAGGCAAAATAAAAATAAAAAATGAATTCTGGTAGTTGTATGACGTCGTGGCCTATTAAAGTCCATTTTCGCTTGGGACCTTTATGCTGCATGAACCGTGTTGCCCATTACTCAGGCACTGTTGCAATCCACCGTACGGAGAAAGATGGCGGCTGTACATTTTACCACAATTCCTTTCGAACTGAACACGGCAATTTTATGGTTTTCATGCGCTAAGAACTGTAGGTAAATGTACTAGTCGCCATCTTTTTAGGTACGGTGGATAGCGCAGGTACGACGGCCACGATATTAAGAGCGTAGCAAAACGAAAAATGATGTACTTTTTCTTGGGGGAACATCATATGGTGCTTTGTTAAACAACTATGGAAATGAGACAACTTGCGACAACTCCGATCTCTTTAAGACATTGCATCCCGCGCGGGGAATATCGATTTGCGTGTATCCCACAGGGATGCATTCGAATTTGGTAAACGACGTGATCGTTGATCAGCCAACAGTAGTCGAAGTTATATCTGGGAAATGCCATGCAACTTTATAACAAGTCTAAATAGCAAGTGAAAACAACGCCTCTATAAATGCGCATTTGGGCACATTTCCGTTGCCGTACTCTTCGAAACAACATAATCTCAGCTCCAGAGCCTTTGGTCCCTTTTTGGCCACGCAGGAAAGGAGGCTCGATCGCCTCTCTTTCTTGGTCATAGAAAAGAGTTCTAGATTCGAGAATATGAAAAAAAACCAACAAAGATAAATATTCTGACTTGAAAGGGAATGTGCTCTATGTAGAGCCAACTTAAATTCTAGTACATTATGCACTCCATTCTATCTGTTCATAGAAAGGTTCGTATCTTGTAACTATTGACTTGTCTCTTCATGATGAGGGCCAATTCGACACCCTGCAATTCGACTACAACGTGCTTTTTTATAGGTTTTTTTTTGTTGAAAAAATATATGTTCTAATGACATCTGTTTCTGCATCAAATATCATTCAGTATCACTTAAAGAGAGACTGTATATTAAAGGTTCCTTAATTTGGTTTTCTTCCAAAGCGGAGTCCCAGATTCACCAATTTCATGGCTCCTGATTTTTCTCCCACATGGATTCGACTTGAAGGTTACCTCGCGGCTCTTTGAGCTTGGCAGAATCACGCTCAACGTCTTAACGTTGTTCTTTAAGTCATGACACTGCAAGCAGTGTTTCATTTCTCCATCTGTTGGAATTTACAGCAGTGTCTTCAGTCCCTGACGCTTGTACACAGATCCTCTAAAACTGCGGCGTTTTGCACACAACGGGTGGTTAAATAACCGTCTCCAAGCCTTTAAACAAAAATGATAGCAAGCGGATGGTTAAAAAGAGTACCACTGTCCATTGTAATTTGCCGAAGTGCTGTTTATGAAAGTTAATTTTGCTCTTCTGACTCCCTAGAGTGGACAATGTAACTTTAACGAACACCCATAAAAAGAACAGTACTATATGCTGGTCCTGCTGCTATAATTGAAACGGGAGGATTTTTTTCTAAACTAAAAAAGATTACAATCCCCCTTCATGTTACTGTTAGTCAGTTGCAAAAGAGTGCTGCCCTAACCTATAGCTTACACTAGAATAATCAACTATTACCTCTCTGATTCCTGGTTTGCAGCCACATGGCAGAGCGCCCACACTGGTCAACAAAACAATACAATTTTTCGCCAGAATTTGCACTAAGACAAAAACAAGTGAAGTTCCTCCATACAGTCGATAAGGGGAACGATTTTGTTATTGTCATTTAAAATTAAAATGGCCACCGTGAAGTCAGCAGCTGCGAACCAGCAATTTGCTACAATTGCATAAGTGGGCAATATTTCGACTATTGGTACTAGTTATTAAAAGTTTGCCTGCCTATTTCTTTGTCGTGTAATGTTATGTAAAAAGTTTTTCCTTAACAAGTCCAGAACCACAGAAATCGTTCATTGGTCACTTTATAAAACGATGAAAGTGATACCTGTGCCATATAAACGACCAGCACCTTCCTTGACTCGACTGAACACGCGGGTGGAGACGACGGTCTTGTCTCCAGTAGGGAGCATTTCTTAAAACCGCTTTTAACCCTGGCTTTTGTTTTGGAGAATCTCTTGCGGTTTGAATTGGAGTTATATCTAGAGTTCAGTTTGAATATAAAATTACAACAAATAAATCTAGGTTGTTAAGACTTTCAGGCCCTGCAAAATACTCAGAGGGCCGACATTACGACATGCCCTGTCATGACTCCCTCGTGCCCAGGCGCTAGTTAAGCAGAAAGAAAATCAGCGAGCACTTTCACTGGACATGCATTACAGCCTTTCCAAGTTGTCACGTGCGTCTACAAAGAGCAAGATGATAAGCGGCTAATGACCTGATAAACGTACCTACTGGTCCACTGTGCACTGCCTCTCCATTTATTTCCAAATTGTTAACATTCTCCGGTATTTCTGTCTCTGGCTCATGTTCTTTTTCGTCTTTCCAGGAGAACTCTTCGACTTTGAGCACGGGAACTGCACGGCCGGGGCCTGGGAGAAGAGAAAAAAAAGAATTGTTACTTTTTGGCCAACTATATTGAAAACCATTCTTTATTGACGCCATACTTAATAGTCCAGTTTGGAGTTCGCTAAGACCGCTGAATTAAAGAAGTGAAGGCGCATTTTTTACAGGTTTAACCTCCATCTGAGTAATATATTCACAAATTCCAACGAGAAAAAGACCTGTTTGTTACCCTGTCTATTAAGTATATTCAAATTTCAAACACTTACTTGCCGGAATTTCTGAATATTTTACTTTACGTCGAGGCTAACCCTGTATGAATGTGTCGTTAATGTTTGTATTCAGCGTTAATTTTTAATTCGAAACTGGACTATCAGCAAATCGCAATAAGCTACATGAATTAGCAAAAGTAAGATATATTGTTGGCTAGTCCCTAAGTAAACTGTCTTATTTTTAAGGGGGGTTGGAAGGAGAGACGGAGAGAGAGAGACAGACAGGAATTGAGCTCATTAATTGATTCGTACCCCTAGGTTCTTCTACATTTTGAAAACGGTGATTCCATGTTTCCTGGCTAGAAAGAGTCCGATGTTTGCTTTAAATATTTGCCATGATTCTGAACGAGAAGGCCATGAGGATGAGTTTAGGTTCAATGGAAGGAAACTGCAAAAACTATAAAAACTTACAAGTAATAAAAAGCGTCAGGGCGTTTTAGACAACGCGTGTCAGTTAAAAGACTGAAAGAAATACAACTGAAGTAGGTAGTAAAAGAATAAAGATAAGTTCGTAAGGCAACTGTCCAATTAGAAGTCAGTGTGATAAATAGATCTGATCAAAATCACATGCAGTGCTCGTGCATACGCATGGTCATTCCATACACTTACATCTGACCGGCAACCCTGGCGACCCAGGCGCGTGCAGTCTGAAGGAATGACCGCTGCCCTTAAAACCGCTGTCTACACTGGAAGTCATGCTCAACTCACTAAGGTTTCGCTTTACATCCGACATATCTGAAAGGCCCGGCACGTGCAGGTGCGAGAGATATTTCAAAGGAGAAAGGAACTGGGCCTTATTATTGCCACACTGGGAGACGTTGTGTTGAGCTACAGGTAGAAGAGACAGCGAGAATAGAGGTCAAAGAGTAAACATTAAACTAGGTGCAGGTGGGAAAAAGTACAAGAATAAACATCAAAAGTCAGTATTTAAATGAAACATGTCCAAGACTGATTAAGGGACTTGCCGCTTTGGTCGACGATGGACACGTTCCCAAACAGCAAATTCGAATACGAATAATTCCTTAAGAAAGTCAGAGAGTAGAAGAGAAAAAAAAGCGAAGACCAGCAAGAAAAATATTGTATAGTACCTTCTGCTTTCATTTATCTTTTAATACTTGAAACATTGTGTACGCTAAATTAGAGAGACGTTTCAGACAGAAGATTTGTTTAAGATAACATATTAATACAGTTTTTCTGTCAGGAACCTTGACGCTCCGTGCTTGCCTAAAACGAAGTTTGATTTATTAAACCTTTGAAAAAAACAACCGCTAGTTTTCATAAGTGACATGGGTAGTACCACTGTAATAGTAACCTCAAGTAGATCAAATTAATGACCATTACCCGATGTTGGAAACAATTATTGCACGGTCAACTCATGATAAAGAGAGCTGGATCAGATTCAGGATAGCATTGCCTCAAAATGTATTCTTCATTAAATCCCCTGAAGAAGGACGGTTTGTCCGTCAGAATTATCGGGAAACCTCAAGTCTCTTTTCTCTTTGCTGTTTTGTTATTTATGTCTATATTTTTGTCTTGGATAAAACAGCAGGATTTGGTTGTCGTCATTTTGTATGAAAGTTTCAACATTGCCTCAACATAAACTGAACTGTTGGATTGTGCTGAAAAACAGTATCAACATGCTATTATGTTGAGGAATTAGTCACAGGAGAATTTGAAAGAAAATTGCCAATTAAAAAAAAACACTCTATCGGATAAGCATGCACTCACAGGTGGTGACCGTCCACAAACCGGTTTTCCGCTGTCGATTATGGTTGTTTCCATGGTAACCACTGTCTGTTGAGCTTCCGCTGACCTGACTCGGATTTCGTGGTGCTGATTCACAAATACCAGGCGTGAGGTATTGGAAATTGTTTTCAAACCCAAAGCCCTCATCTTGCTGATTATTATCCTCGCTTTCGGCATGATTATCAGAGTGATTATCTAAATGTTCATTTTCCGCCATATCGGCTACATTCGCATGTTCGGAAGGACTGGAAATACGCTCTACTGGGGAGTCCAGTGGAGACATGATTTCATAGTCTATCGTTATTTTTTCGTTCACGTCTCGGTTACTTGTTGCTAGGAGACTGCCGTATTCGATACACAAGCCGCCCACGCGAGGAATTCCATCGAGTGAGGACCAAGGAGGAAGAGTTTTTCCGCCTCCTAAAATTGAGACAAAAATAAACAACCCTTTGTAATTTTAAAATAAGGTATTAATCTTTTAATACAAGGAAGTGTTTCGTTGTTAGACCAAAGTCTAGTAATTTGATATTTCAGTTTTCGACGCGGTTCTAACATAGAAACGATCAGCAAAAAGCGTAATTCTGCAAACGGTTTACGGGCTCCTGTATATCCACCTCGACATTCGGCCTCGGTGGGTAACTCTCTCCCCGACCTGCATAATTCTTCACATCCTACGCAGCCTCATTAATCTGTAAATAAGCTGCTGTTCTGAGATCCAGGCCTTAGAGAGATGGATCAAGGCTCCAGGGATACGGGCCTCTGACTGTAGGCTCAACTGTACAAGCAGACCAGCTATTGATTTTGCGAACCAATTGCATTCAGAGTGCAAGCTCTGATCAGAGAACAAAATCTGACGTTTGTGAGTTGTCAGATTTCAAAAAATATACCATTTATTCCTATCACTCCAGGAGCACTTCAGGACAAGCCGTCTAAGTTTTAAATCTGTGGACAAAATCTCATGGTATTACCATTCAAATAAAACTTCTTTGGGAGAAATTTGCATTGTACTATTTATTTCTTGGGATTTTGACAAAAGAAATTTAATTTTTGGCGGAATTTTTATCTTTTGCCGCAAGTATGAATGATAGCACGGTCATCTCCCAGAGGTCAAGATGACCCATTTTTTTTTTGTCCCTCTCGTTGATTTAGCAAATTTTACGTAGATTTTAAGACGAAACCTTAGGGGGAACCTCGTAAAAAGCAAACCAAAAAAAAGGGACAAACTATGCCGTTTTTCTCTTAAATTACTACTTATTAGAACCTACAATAGTTTCTTATAATACGTTATTTTCTAGGGGCAAAATATTAGCTGACCTAGATGTGCCCCTCTCCTTTCCATTCGTCTTCTTTTTTTTTATGACAAACTCATTTAAATTCAATGTAAATAAACTCTCTTTGACTCAAGTACTAAGGTTTGTCTGTGATTTATCTTGTAATATATATAATGGAATGGGAAAAATAAATGAAATGAAAAAGCATGAATGAAAGGAATAATCTTAAAAACATTGTACCTTCGTCTGCTTCAGTCTTTGGTCCCAGAATCCTCAACTCTCTAAGTTCATTACACCCTTTGTCTCCGTCATCAAACCGTATATCAAAGAGACTTCGCCGTACAGCAACAACAGTCCCTGGATAAAACGTGTCTAAGCGATTGTACCATTTAGCCAAGACTCGGGTCCCTATCTCCACTTCCATGGCGTGAGGAATGACATCTGCTACAATGCATTCGGGATGCGACCTCTTGTGTCTTATTTTCTTGCCATTATCAAGCTTCACATGAATTTCGTCGTTCATTTCTGTCACGATACCTCGGAAAAAACAGCCCTTTTCTGCTCTTGCCCATACTCGAGAGCCTACCCCTATACAGGCTTAAAGAGAAATGATAGCACCAGTTGAAAAGTCAGTAAATTTAACCTTGTATATTGTTCTTAACTTTCTTCTTTAGTTTCTTTTTTTCGGTTGTAAAGAGTGCTTAAAAAATTCAATCGGAAAAGGCTCAAATCTTTTTTCGAAATTTAGTGGTAAAATAAGACACGTTGAAGAAAAATTTTCTTCAGCTTTCAAAGCTCCGAGTGGAACAATCGTAAACTTACGGCTGGTTGATCAGTCATGAATGTAATCGCGAAGAAATGAGGGATAGTCACGACCAGGAGGAAATCCCCTTAAATGGCGGAGGTGTTCGTAACACCTATAGAGGTGATGGGACCTTTATTACACTTGGGTCCATTTATTACACTTGTGCCTTCTACAAGGCCATAGTGGCCACCAGTTAAAATAAGTTTTTCGGTTTGAGCCCCTAAAAGAGCACTACAAAGTACCATTAAAAATGACTCTAATGGCGGTCATTTTAGATTTTAGCACCCTAAGCTGCTCATGCAACAATCCCAAAACATTACACCCCAAAAAGGTACTATGGATGGAAAATCCCCTCTCCCCCAACACGACACTGACGACAGGAATGACAAGCCAAGCTTTCTGTGGTTGCATGTATAGGCTATTTTTAACTCATTCTTACCTATGCAGCGTTTTCTGGTTAATTTGAAACTTGAATCCTCTTTAAAGAAATGAGAGTTTTCGTACTTTTGCAGAAGAAGCTGCTCTCCACATCGGCGAATAAAATGCGCTGAATTCAAGAGTGATTCGAAAGCAAAGTAACCTTCAAACCACATATCTTGAAGAGGGAGGAATGTGCTTTCTTTCCCTGAAGAAAAGAACAAAGTTTAGCATTCTTTTCTTTGTAATGTATGTATGCGAGAATTTATCCTTTATTTTGACTAGAGGAAGTTCCATTTGAGCTGCTGGTTTATTAGAGATGGGGGGGGGGGGGGGGGGTAGGGGGGGGTTTTTTTGGGGGGGGGGGGAGGGGGGTGGTTTTGGGAGGGGGGGCCGCAGCTCGTGCAAAAAAACACCCAGTTTTTCTTTTGTTTATTTGGATTTGTGTGTTGGGTAATTTTTCTGTTTGTTTGGTGGTGGCGAGTGGTCTTTGGTGGGTGTGTGTTGTGGGGGGGGGGGGGGGGGGGGGGTGGGGGGGGGGTTTTTTTGGGGGGGGGGGAGGATGATGATGGTTTTAGGACAGGCGGCCCAAGCTCGATGCATAAACTACCCTATGTTTCATACTATTTTGTATATTACGAACGATTTATAGACTTTGTATGAAAAATAGGATTTAAGGAATTTGCCAAAGTGAAATCAGACCTTCAAGTGAATTACTGACCCAGATCAGGACAAATATTCCCATACACGAAAAATACGAGGCTATTACTGCATGAGTCCTAGTGCTACTTCAAGCGGTTCTCTACAGATGATAGAGAGCTTTAGATAGTGAGACGAGAAAGACGTCGAGTACGGGATTTTCTCAATACTGAGTATTGCTCCCGCGTAAGCCAGTGTCATCATGATTTTGGCGGGAAAACGTGATAGCCGTCGTCATTGTACTACGAGTTTTAGCGAGAATGTCGTAGTGGCGGGAACAAATGTAAGAACTTTTATGATTCTGCTATGTCTGCTATCGCGAGAGGGCTTAACCTCCTTCAGTATAAATAAGCGTACTAAATTTTTTGGTGAAATAAAGTAAATTGACGCTTTCCGGAGTGTCTTTTTTTTAGAACACGCACTAAATCTCGTATATTCGTACTCTTTGTGGTCCTCAAATCTAAAGCTCTCTAATAGGGAGCTTGAGCAGCGATGACGGCGAAGGCAACGACAACGGCAAAAATTAACAGGTTTAGATTAGCAAAACAACGTGCGTCGCCCTTTTTTGTACATTTCTTTGCCGTCACTGCACGACTACGACGTGAAACTTTCTAATTTCACGTTCTATGGAAGACGTAAACAGAAGACAACGATTTTCTTAAATTTTCTTTTGTGAACTTAGATACAGTCCTCTAGCATTCAACTCCTGAAAAAATCGCCAACATTTGACAAATTAAAAGAGTTGGAATAAGGGCAATGACGTTTGAAACAGCGCGAATTCACTTGTTTTGGAGACGTTTTTTCTGCCGTTGCCGTTAAGCTCCCTAGTCATGCACAGAGGATAAGGCCAATTAGGCCTAGAATGTTAATTATTCTCTGTAGCCGAGTTTTTGTAAATTTGCCAGATATTACTTTTCAAATCCGATTCCTTCCTTCCACAGTATGTTCGTTCGAACCTTCCCTTCTCTTTGAAAGCCGACCGTGCAAGTTGACCTCAAGACATAAAAAAACTCCTAGATCGTTGATTCTATATATTGATTTTGCTTCCAGCACTTTGAAACAACATAAAAAAAATATTTCTTAGAACTTTAAAAATGCCTCAGTATTTATATTTGGGCTTTTCAGAGAGCGTAAACAACGGGCCGAAAGCCAATTTATATGCCAATAAATGCACAGTAATTTTCAAGGAGTTATAATAACTCCTCTTTACAGAGGAGTTATTTTTGGGGGGAGTTATTTTAACTCCAAAAAGGAGTTAAGAGAACTCTTTTTCAGGAGTACAAATCACCCCAGATATTGAGGAGTTAAAATAATCCCCAAAAGAGTGAAAACAACTAATATAAGGAGTAAAAATAACCCCATTTTCTGAATTATTTTAACTCCTGATTGCCGGCAGTTAAAAGAACTCTTTCTAAGGAGTAAAAATGACCCCAAATTTGGTGTTAAATTAGGAGTTAAAGTAACCCCCATAAAAGGGGTTATCCTGTACCTAAAATTTTTGCTCCATTTTTGGAGTTTTAATAACTACCTAAAAATTACTGTGTGCTTCTCTCTTCCTTCTTTCACCTAAATTTCAACTTTGACCAATCATCGTCAGCCATTAGCAAATCAAACTCTAAGATTCTACACCGTACCGGACTTTTCATGATGATTGCCGCGTGATAAAAATCTCGACTCAAAACAATTTGTAAATCCCATACAATTGATAGCTACTCAGTGTGGAAAACAATTAAAAGGCTTACTTCAAAGAACTTCCAGCCACAGCTTATGTTTTTAAAGAACTTAGTTTTACGGAGCTTTATTTGCTAAAAGGAAGTGAGAATCAAATACGTATCGATACAAAAATTAGCTAAAATTAAAAATGTTCGTGAAAAGCTGTGTCGAATGTTCAAAACGAGCTCATTGTTAGATTTGCTCATGAGAACTATTGACAGTAAACATATGGGTTTGGTTAATATATAAAATCGAAGTCATCTCCGTGATTTGAGTCAACTGTAACTCAGTAACTTCCTGATCTGTTTGTAAGTGAATTCTTTTAAGCAGTACAGAGGAAAATCTCTTAAGCGGACACCCCCGGGCCGCGAAAAAGGTGTTCGTACCTGGAGCTGGCCGCTTACGAGAATGTAAAAAAAGAGTTTGTATGGGAGTTGAGTCCGCTTCCCAAAGTGTCCGTTACGCCTTCCACTGCATGTATAATGTTTTTCGGCCTTGTCAGCACCATATGCCTTCTCCATGCTGTTCACTTAGAATACCATCGTGTTTGACTGAAACACAGGCTAAACCCTGGCTGCGTTTAAATAACCGAAGCCTGCGCTGTGCAGCTCCGTTTGGTACTAAAGCGAAAAATAAAGACACTCTTGCATCGACTTGTCCGCAAATTTGACGGCAACAACTGATCAAGGAGACGCGTAAAGGAGCGCCAAAAATGCAATTAAAACAGTAGTTTCGAATCGTGTTTTGCTTTTAGTAATACCGAATACATTTTGTAGTTTTAGAATCGTCGATTCTTTTCACTAGGTACAATTCATTGTGACATATCAGTGGGCTCACTTGGAAATGAAATGATACTACTCACATAGGGATGCAACCGACTTTATTTAAATACATCGCCACATGAAGACAAGAAACTTACATGAAAAGCTTGATTTGCAGGAGTTTTATAAATCAACTACAAAGTAAACTCCGCAGTGCAGTGAAATTTCGGCTGATTTATGCTTTCGCTTAGTTTCTCAGAAAAAAAGAAATCTGTTTAGCTACAGTAAGGCATGGCTGGAGTTCACTTTTCTGTAGCTATTGGAGGTTATATCTTTGATGGTTATCTACCCTTTGTAGAACCAATCAAAATAATTTATTTCCCGGGCACAGTATAATCAAGAAACAGTCGTTTGTAAATACTGATTACGATAATAACATTTAACTTTCACCATATAATTGTACAAATTAAGTAAAAATATCATACTTACTGTAGTTTTCGGAATCATCGAAGGGCTCCAAAATAAGATAGTTGTTTCTTGCTCGCAGATAATGGCGCCGTTTTAGTAGACTTTCGAACGAAATTCCGTCGACGCCTTCAGCTAGACCCTTGACAATGTTATAGCGATCCTTTCCTTTTTGCAGTGATTTTTTCCTGTCTCTTTCTCTGGCTATTTTAGATTGCTTTCTGCTCGGTGAACAAGGAGGCAGTGTACACGAAAACATCACCTGAATGAAAAACAGGACGAAAAAGGGATTATCGAACACTGCGCAAACATTCATGTACCAAATATTTGTTTCCACACATTAGGTGGAAGTACGCAACTGTTAAAATTTAATCGCTACTAGCAGGGTAACAGTATTTTAAGTGGCAAAATTTGCATGAAAAACCAATATAAGAAATGCTTCTTACGTTTTTCATACGGTCTGTCCTTGAGATTCGATTAAAATGTAAATTGCGAGACATTAGGTCGTTTCTTCAGCCTAACAAACACAATTTGCCTCGTTGCGCCTCTGAAACTGGCAGTTTAGTAAATCGAATGAATACTAAATTCTGCCTACCTGCTTGTGGCTATCCCATAGCAGGTACTAATTTTTGAGCGTTGTTTGTGTATCTGTATAACCGACTGCTTAAGATTGAATAATCTCTACTTGGCAATGGTAACTGTTTGACAATCTTTTGTCACCAACTAGTGGCTTCTTAGCTTCGAACACATCACAGAGAAGTCGCTCAGTTTCGATTGTATTTGAATTTAGTCATCGTAGACTTCAATGAAGTGATTTTGTAGTAGTGAATGGAGAGCATCATTAAAAAGCTTTACTAACTTAAGGACCATGCCCGCACAACTGACTAATAAATCCACGTTTTACTTGGTAAACAACGGACTTGAAACTTTTAATAAATTTACTTAAAAGCATCTTTATTACGTCGAGGAAAGTGCTAGTAAGAATGTTCTCAAAAACCTCAAAGCCTCAAAAAGCCTTGTTTAAACCTCAAAAATTGCTTGTTTACTTTGCAAACAAAGACTAGTTTAGGAATGCATAGTAAAAACAATTGCCTGATTTTTAGCAGAGAAAAGAAAAAAGCTTCAGTTAGCTGGGCGTTAATTGTAAATGTTTAACTTGGGTAAAACGAGATTTAGTTCAGAAGACTGGCAACTTACCCTCGTAAACACTGCACCAGACGACTTTTAGTTATTATGTAAATTAGTTTGTATTAAAATCCAACGCTCTTGATTGTAGGTGTCGCGCAGGTGTTGCAGTCATTGTTTGCCGACATTTTTAAAGCTTGACTGATTTAATTTGAACTTGTTATGTTTTCTGCTTATTTTCAGCTCGTTATTTCTAATAAGTCTCGTCTTGGCCTGATTATTTATTAACAACAAAACAGTTATAAACTCTGGAAGCCGTTAGAGCCCCGGGGAGGGGACGGGGGGGGGGGCTACTTGGGTTAATTTTTGCTACCCCATTATAGTCTATTCTGTGGCCTATCCCATCTTAGTCACTTTTGTGCGTATATGTAATTTTTGCGATCCCAGCTTAGCCATTTTCCATTTTTATGAATTGACCCATTTCAGTTTTAGATTGAACGAACAACACTTTACCGTTTCATCTGCAGTTACAAATTATTCTGGTACTTTTGCTAACCGTAAATATGAAGAACTGTCTTACCCCCAAAAATCCGAAAATGTGCGACCCCATTCTAGTACCTCGACCCCATCTGGCGGCACATCCCCATTAGCCTCTTTTAAGGAAGTACCCCCCGGGGTTAGAGTTTTCCGGAAGAGCTTGGACTAATTGCTCAAAGTACTTTCAAGTTAACCCAGTTATGACTTAAGCTAAATAGCTATTAACATTTATTTTAATTAAGGCTCTTTCCAAGTAATTCTACCTGTTTATTTTGGCTGCGAGTTAGTTCAAACGTACCTCGAAGTTCGGGTTGGTACATTTTTTATCAAGAAATCCTTTGTTGAATTTTTGTACTATTTAAACTACTTTTCGATTGATCGCCGAGTTAGAACTCTTTGAGCAATGATGGCGGATGGAGAAACTTCTAAATATAAACATGTTAGCTCACACAGCCTACGCATAGCAGTCTGACGTTGGGTCGAGCAGAATCAACGCGATAAGAGTGAGACATAAATCAATAATTAACTACATGTAGCAGCGTTGTTCTATGACGTCATCTTTCAAGATTTTACTCATTTCAGAGTGCTTAAGTGTGTTCTCACTATTTAAATATGGGAAATCAATACCTTTTCATAGTAAATCAACAAAAAACCGATGACTCTTGTATTTGTATTATTCCAACAGAGAAGAATGACAAAGTGACCGAAATGAGGCTTTGACAGTCAACAAACAATCGATTTCATAAGGTAAATCAGGAGCTTTAATGGACTTGACTTGACATTTTCTTATTCATTGCTTTTTAGACTAGCGGGGAGAATTCTCGTACAAATCCGTTCCAAGAGGACTTCCATACGAGCCTGGTCTGCCTGAGCCTCTCAACAGACTGTGTGCTTTAACTGGCAGTGGTCACGGGAGAGAGTTTCAAAATAAGCGATAGTTCTTAAAAATATCGTTGTTTATATAGATACATTCATGTTGTGGATTTTTTTGTATAGATATGCACCCATGTTACGGGTGTATTTGGTTTCATTTCTTTCGATAAGAGAGTTGCAAGTCTTTTGAACCAATCAAATAGTGTTGGAAGTAAAATTATGTCAAACTTATTCTTAAGAGCGCCTCTTTAATTTGTTACGCTCAGTTCAACTTGTCCCTAGTTACTAAAGTTTATTCAGTTACTATAATCGGCGACAAAATTAGCTGAGACACTTCAACCTAAAGGGGCTTTCTGACGCTTTACTGACTTCCAGAGGGGAAAAGAAAGCTTTTCCTCCCTCATCCCCTCCATGCAACATTGTGCCTCTGTTCGAGCTACCTATAGAAACAACAAATACCCCAACTTTGATTGGAGGGGAAGGGGGGGGGGGGTGGACTCTTTTGTTCTCTGTGGTTACCCTATTTGAGTGCAATGTCTCAACATTTTTTTCGCCGATTGTAGTTCTTTATAACGGTAGAATATCTAGTACGCACACTTTAGTTTTCCACTGATTGTAATGCGAAGGGTCCACTGCGGCCTTGAAACCACTCTATACATGGATTACTTTAAGTAAATAGCAAGTCACAACTTACGTGGTATCGACGAAAGAGATTTGAGGAAATACCGTATTGCTGTAGTTTAAAAATATTTGTCAATCGGAACGGTGGAAAAAATATTCCATATTCTTAGTTGTAAGACCGGGATGCTTTCCTTTTCTATCCATATCAGTACAAAACTGATACTTTCTGAGTTAGATGGTTCTAAAAGGAATGTTAATTTATTTTTCTTGACTCTATCCTGACACTTACTTTGTGTGGCTCGTTGCACGGGGCATTTTTTTTCTCAGCTAAATGGTTAACGACTTTTGGAGCTTTAACTCGATTCTTTCAGCGCTTTCAATAGAATTCTGTCCTCTACGGAGATGAACTTGTTCGACTGACAAAGCTTCAAAATCAAAGGATCTGGCAATGAATTGCTTCTAAACTGATTCACTTGCGATGTTTCATTAGTCAGCTGTGAAAACACTTAAATTCATATTTGTTTGATTAACACGACCTAGTAATCAGCTCTAATCTTGCAAAATTTTAAACAGAGAGTTGCTGTTTTTTACCAAGACTTTTACTTACAAGCCGACAGGTGCCCCTTCTATATATTTTCTGTTTTTAAAAAAAAAATTAGTCTTTAAAATTCTTGATTTCTTACCAAAAATGCTCTGCCAACAAAAAAGACAGCGTTTTTTCATGGGACATGAAACGTAATTCAAAAAGGTACTTTCGTTCGAAATTCGCCGATTGAACAGAGAGCCCCCGTCAGAAGAAACTTCTGCCTAACTTGTAACCAGCCGGATTCCTCGATTGACACAAGAAAAAGGAAAATGTCTGATATAGTAAAACCCAAGTCACTGTTTCTGGACCGCAGTCAAAATTACGTCTGTTACGTAAGCTATCAGAGTCCTTGTTAAATTCCAATTTGCTGTGTCTTAAATTAAATGTTACGCACCGTGTGAGATTAAGGTTTCCAGCTTGGGCTGCTTGCAGCGCAAATGAAGATGGAATGTAGTGGTAAGTCTATAGGCCAATTCAGTTATTGTTATTGATCAATTAAACATTTCTTGATCAGAGGATTTTAATAAAGGGTTCAGTTTTGTTTGAAACTTTTTAGGGGTTTAGATTCGCCGATAGAATAGAATATACTTATACCAAGTTATTCTCAAATATAATTGGCATCTTTATTCAAGAGAACATATTCCATCAACTTCACCTGAAAAATTGTTGATGCTTAAAAGTCATTTATCACGTCGTAGGATTTCATCACGCGATGATGAGTTATACACCGTAGGTCCCCTAAAGAGTAGGGACGTTTTGAGTCTGAAAAGAAAAATTTAACCAATGTTGGCTGAGAGGTCATAGAAACCGGTTTCTTGAGTCCTGTAATCAGTCTTACGGACCCGTAAAGCAACTTAACACTCGCAATCTTTGCGTGAAACGGAGAGTTGATTTTTGTTTGTTTTAAGGACAAGCTTAAAGAATATTTATGCTAAAAAAGCAAGCTAACTAAAGATGGTTTGGAAGCATAAAAACGTACCTACATCCATCATCATTATATTGCTGATTCTGATGTCAAAGCATTGGTCCCGGTGCGAAAATATGGCAGGACTCGGGTCTTTATTAAACCTACTTATGGGCTGTATTTAAATTTCCTAAAGTCATGTCTGAAAAATGATAGGGAAAATTGCGTATTTAGTTGGTCTGAAAATCACCAGTGGTTTCAATAGGGGCAACGTACGCACGGATAGTAACGCCAGGGCTTCAGATCTGTTTTAGCCAAGAGGGGGGTATCGGCAAATAGCTCGCTTTTTTGGACTCGACTACCATTGTTTAATATCTAGAGGTTGTCAATCTTTCATTAAGAAAAAATCAGTATATTGCAATATAACCACGGAGTCACGATAACACATGTATGTCGATTTCAAACGTACGGTTCTCGTTAGCACCTCTTTCTACAGGACAACAAGAATCTCAATTATAAGACGACGAACTGGCCAGAATCCTGAAAAATTATCCACGGTTGTTTGCCGCTTGTTACAGTGCGGAAAGTGTAAAAAGTTTTAAATTAATTCAATGTTAAAATGTATTGTAGACGTTTTGGTTTCCTCGCAACGCTGATCTCTGTGAATATTGTTGTTTAAATTTTGATTGTAAATTTCACTGATGAAAGTAAGGTGTACTATGGGAGGCAGAGGGTTCCAATAAATAAAATACGTTTGTTGCTTTGAAGGCACACGAACGATGCCGTTAAAACAGTCTTTATAAATTTCTGTTGTGACTTGTCACGAGAAATGTTTCAGTCTTGATGGTTCTGAGATTTTAGTAAAGAGTAAAAATAATTACGTAGATATCAACAAACAATTCTACCCCACAAGACGAATGCATAATATCATGTCGGAAAATTAGCAACTAAAAAGTGATTTGTTTTTTTCGAAACAAACTATCATTTACAACATAAAAGCATTCCAACCAAAACGCCGGCAGTATCATTATAAAATTCTATTCGCCGTGATTTTTTTGTTATACTCAGTCGCTATTTCACTCATCGCAGTAGTCCGCCAAGGATTCGAATTCTGAATTAAACGTTCTTGAAGCTACATGGAGTCGGTACTTGTCAGAAGTTGCCACTTTTTTATCGTGTTTGTTTTATGAATAACAACGTTTGCTTTGCGACCCTTATGACAGATCGCCAATCATTCTTAAATTCATATTTTTTAAGTATCTGTTGAAACGTTACTCAGTGAGCTTGAAATCTCAGCCTTCTCTAAATTAAAGTCAAAGCCAAGGCACAGCCATTTTACTAAAAGGCTTGAAAAACCCTCTCTCCCCTTTGGCCAGATCACGGTAAGAACTACGGTCCTCGATGTCATTCGTTAATGACTTTCGCGTGGTACAATCACATCGATCAAAATATACCATGCAGTCAGATTTATTGATTTACAAAGAAGCAAAATATCCGGGGAATAAATTTCCGGTTTCGACTCTATTTTGTTTAGATTTATATAGAATAAAACCCCCCCAAAAAGGGTTATAATAAAAAAATCAGTCACATCAGTGAAAAATGTATTTTTGTTGCCTTGGTCGCCAGAATGTGGCACAGACGAAAATTTAATAGTGCAATATAAACCCTACTTTACTAAAAATTAAACAAAAACATTTAAAAAACTTAGGTCATCAGTTTAAACCAACCACGAAATTGAAGTGAATTCACAGTGTACCAACTTTACAGACTTAAATCCTACCTTTTCAGGGTTTTCTCGCTTTTGTTTGTTTTCATGACAATTCATAGTTGATGCTGGGGTTCTAGTCAAAAATAAGCGAGAGCTTCCCTCAGTATTTGACCTTTCGTCGAAGTTTCTCCGAGGAATGGAGCAGCGATCCAACTTGACAAAACAGATACCAAGTACCTCATTTTTGTGTGAAATAAAGGAAAGAAGAACGGCATAGGGTACAAGGCTCTGTGCCAAGTATAAGGGATATGTGTCAAATTAATTTCGTAATAACTGTGATAAATATGAAATTATTCATTATCACTGTAAAGCAAAAGCTTTGCATAAATCAAGACTTTAATCACGGTTACGGCGTCGCGATCACCTGCAGGGTTTTATTGTACTGGATTCTAAAGGAACAATTACAGAAACTATTTCATTAGTAAAAGGGTGAATATTTCATTATTACAACAACCTTTCTCATTCAGATGTTTCCTATTTATATTTATAGACATCAGCTTCCCGACTGGAATATTCATATTAAAACTTTAATAGGCTGTACCCGCTGGCAGCGACATACCTACGTTTGTTTTACATGTTACTTTGCCAGCGAAAATAAGTAAATAAAAAAATTGTCGCACCTTCTTTTTTTATTGTATTTTGACAAGCTATGAGGTTATACCGAGCTGTATTCATTTCCATCTAGTACACGTCAAAAACGTCATTGAAGTAGTATTGTTTATGATTTTTTTAGATGATGTGGTCTACCTTTCAGTCTATTCTCACGAGGCTGGAAAAAAACACTAAGGAAAAATGCCTTCACATTACAGCCAATGCGCTATAAAACAATCATTTTCCCAAATAAATCTGTCTTTGCTATTTAAAAGGTTAATACAACAAACAAAAGTCGTCTTTAAGGCAACATACTTAGCATGATTATAACTTTAAGGACCTCTTAAAAAGGACTCTGGGTAAATATGGAACAGTTCAGTTGCCTATGTTCTGAAACATTACCATTACCGCGGGAAAAAATATTTCGGACGCGGACACAAAGAAATGCCATTAAAATCTAGTCAAAAACATTTATTCTTGCTTCTCGCAACTTTGTTTCTAAATCTCATGTTTCCTAGTTTACCTACTACATTAGGAGAACAACTCGCACTTTCGACGTCCACTTAGATAAAATGTCCAGACTTTCTGCGCTCGTTTAAGTTTGTTTCGAGGAAGTGCGGACATTTTTTTCACTTTTCAACACAAATGTGTTGTTTCATGTCAGTAATTTTGTGGGTGTTAGAATTATAGAATGACGACTTTTGCATGAACTTTTCGTTTCGTGATAACTACTTTCAAATGAACAGTTTAAAATGTACTGATGGCGACTCTGTATTGCTTTTTGTCGGCATAGCCTGCGTTAGTTGCTTGGTATTTTGATAGAACGTTGACACTTATGTCAACATTTCTTAAAATCAAAAAAGAAGAAAAAACAAACAACGAAACAAAATTTTATTTTCGATTAAAAGCGAAGAAAAAATAACCCATCATTACCGGGAAAATATTAAAAAACAGAAATGACCGCCGATTATACGTATGTAGCTAATGGTTAGGGTAAGTGAACCCAAATAATCTACGCCACATACTTTTCCTAAACTGCCGAAGGCTATTTTCTGCTTTCAAAGTCTTTTCGCCGGGAGTTCTCAAGAAACGCTTTTCAAAATGCTCATTAGGGTATGATTAATAATTTAGGCTGTGGTATCTACTCATTCTTGTTTGACTTGCTTTAATTTGAACGGACGGCGGTTAGCAAGCTCTTTGAGTATACAACAAGGAAAAAGAAATTTAAAATTCTTACCTCTGTGCGGTTTTGTTGCATTTCTTAAAATATCTCTGTTCTCATAATGAGGGAAATAGATTGTATATGTTTGAAAGGAACGTGATGAGAATGACAAAATAATAAAAATGAAATGAAATATTAACAGTACATTAAAATTGCACGGAGAGTGCTGTCAGCATGGCGGGAATGATATCACTAAGAGATCGACTGTCATAAGAAATATAGAGGATTAAAACTTATCTCTGCATAATATGTCTGGTTCATTGTTTACACTAGGAAACATCCTTAAAACTGATACATAGTGACTTATTAATATTCTCTGTTTAATGGCACGTGGATACATGAGTACACATAAACTTTACATACTATTTCTTTTGATATTTATTTTTAATCAATGCATCACGTCTAATCCTCTATTTTACTGATGCTTTACTCCTGAGGATTGATTTAAAATGACATTCCGGTTAAAACGGGTATAATAACTACAAATTACTTATCACATTTTTCTGTGCAGCTTTAAGTAGCTTAAGATCGCCATCATGCACCGATGGAGGGGAGAGGAGTGGGGAGCGGGTGGGGTGGGGAGGGTTTAAGATAATGATTGTGCCGTTGGACTCAGGTTTGTTCGTCAGTTTGTGACCATTCCCAGCTACTGTTGTAAAATAAGGACTCTTTCCCTCCTTTTAGAAGTTGTGACAAAAAAACAACAACAACAACAACAACAACAAAGCTGTTAATTTTCCGTCGTTCACCCTTAGTCACCTTACAGTAAACAAATGCCGTCGCGATTTTCTAAGCTAATGCGAAAAGATTGAGTTTTCGGATTGATTTTCTTAGCATTTTAGTCAAATAAACTAGAACAGTTAAGTCAGGTAAATCAAATAATAAACCAACAAGACTACTTTGATTGACAGTGATTTTCGCCTTGAACTTAGAGACATTTTGAGTGGCCTATTTCCATTGACCTTAAGAGTTAAGTAGCCCTGACTGCAAGAAAGTCTTAGACTTTTTTATCACACTTGTTTGTAGCGACCTTTTCCCAACGATCTGTTCAAAACGTGAGGCAAACGAAAAAACAAGGTATGATATTTTGTTTTTTGTTTTTCCTATTTTCCTGACCTACCAGCTAAATATTTGTTCTTTTGTCTCTTTGAAGAAGGAATAATAGTTATAGTTTCACTTAAGACTGTACAGTGAACCCATTGACTGGGTGTTTCAGATAAAATGCAGCAGTGAGTGCCTAACATTTAAGAAAACACCTATCTCATTTCAGGTTGAAAAGTAGACAATGAAAACAACGACAACAACAACAACAATCAAAATAATAATAATAGAAAACCTAACCACATAAAGGCTCGGGAAATTATTAGGACTTGGACAAAACGCGCGTGAAATTAATCCCTAATTTCACTCGTCACCATTTGATTACACATACTACTACTGCTACTACTACGACTACTACGACTACTAC